GGCAGGGATTTCTGTTCCCATGTGATCTAGAATTACTGAATCTAGAGGAGGATGGGAGGAAGAAGTTACTGATTTATCTGGTTTTTTCCACTTGACTTTAGTGATTTATCTGGTTTTTTCCACTTGACTTTACTGATTTATTGTAATCTTTAATATTCAGTTCAGTTCTTTTCCATCCTTTCTGAGTGTAATACACCATCAGCATGCTGTATACATCAGACATTTATCAGTTACATTAATTTGTAAGTTTATTTCAGTAATCTTTTGTAATTACTTTCTGTTTTAGTAATAACAATTTAGTTTCAGTTATTTTACTCTTATATTACTCTTATATATATCTTGGTCGGTTATATACTGCCTTAATTAATTTATCCTGTTTTATATCATGTTTTATATATATGCTTGGTCGGTTCTACACCGCCTTATTTAATTTGATGTTTAACTTGTTTTAAGTTATTGTGCGCTTCCCCTTTTGGTATCAGAGCCATTTATTAGTCGTTATTTGTATAATCTACTCTATGTCTTCTCTCTTACTTATATATATATATTTGGACCCAAATTCAAATAGAAATACCCCTGTTCCGAATCGTGTAGATTTTTGCCTCAACAATGAGTATACTTTTTTCTTGTCCACCGATGAGCAATTGAAAATTATTATATGTATATATACACACACACACATTCAGAAAACTGAAGGTGCAATGCACGTGCTCAAAATCTTACAATAAAAAATAAAAAATAAAAAAAAAAAAAAAAATTTATTACACAAAAATAAATAATAATATAATAGGAAAAATAGAAAAATAATACTTAGATATTTAAAAAAAAAAAAAAAAAAAAAAAAAAAAAAAAAAAAAAAAGAAGCAAACTTGGACATTGTAGAGAAGTGAGAACAATCATGATAATAAAGAATAAGAACACAAGGTGGTTCACCTAAAATCTCATTACATCCACGTAGTTGTAGGTGTAGGGATCTCATGAGAGAAATAACATTACAAAGCAATTTAGGCAAGTACAAATAAAATGTATGCTTGAATATTAATTTTCTTTTAATTCACTTTACTTTTCTTTTCAATTTTCATTTCATTTTGTTTCTTATTTTTTTATTTTTATAATTTTTTATTTATTTTTTTATTTTTTGTTATTTCTATCTAACCAAACCGAGATTGTAGTCTAAATTCAACAACCTTAAATTTTGCATAACATGTAAGATATATCTCCGGTCTTTTTTTTTTTACTGTATATTTTCTGGTGATTACTTTATATTTTCTTGTGATTTCAATTTTGGTAATTTAACATTAAAATGATAGGTCTAAATTATGAACATTTTACGGTGCGTTTAGCAGGAAAGGTAACAAATAAATAAATAATTTTTTTAAGAATTTTTTTAAGAGTTTTGTTAGAAAGAAAGTGAAAATTTTGAGAAAAGTTAGTTTCGCAAATTGTTGATTTTTCTCAAAATCTTTCCGGTATAAAACAAGAAAATTTCAGTTGCTTGTGAAAGTTGTGACTCTTACTTTAGTTACCTATTATACCCTTATCAATTAGTAATTTGTATATGTGATGAACACTCAATATGGAAGAAAATTTGTCACCTAACTTTCTAAATATTTACGTGTTACTATATATTTTGGGAGTAAGCCTCTATATTAATGGCTAAAATTTTTCTCCCATATAAACAATTTAAAAATTAATAAAAATAATTATATTTTTTATATTTAATAATTTAATATATTATTGTTATCATTTTAAAAAATGGATATAAATAATTGGGTGTACAAATGGAGCTGGTGTAATATAAATTTATTTATTTCATGGATTTGAAATCACAATGGTAGTTTTTTTTTCCTAGTTGCTCACAATGGTAGTTTTGATAGGTACAGTCATTTTCTTTTTTATTTCATGCTTTTCAAACTAACAAAATAATATTTTCCAATACCTTTCTTGAAAAAATTTCTTCCTAATGCGCCTATCCTTACAAGTAAAATTAGTTGTCCTTAAATATTAGTGTAATACAAACCAATGGGTCACTGATTCAGCGATACCAAAATTCTACTTTTCAAATGAAGGTCAAGAGTTCAATGCATAAATATATATGGTTGTCTGAGTACCACCAACTAAGAAAAAAAAAAAAAAATTACAGTAACATAACAACTTGAAAATTCAAATAATTTAATAATTTATAAATATCAATCATAATTTTAAAATATTCTACAATAACAAACATATCTCCAATCCTCACAAGTAAAATTACTTGTCCTTAAATAATACTATAGTACAAAAAATTGAAAATTCAAATAATTTAATAATTTACAAATATCAATCTTAATTTTAAAATATTCTACAATAATTTTTACTGATAAATTACCTTTAAATTTCAAAATATTTACCAAAAAATATGACTCACCTTACTTACCAGAAATAAAAACAAAAAATAGAAGAAGTACCTTGCCTCAGACATATTTAGTTCATTGATTCACATATAACAAGAAATTGACAGTACCTTTTCTTCGATCATATATTTATTATGGATGGACTTGTATGGAGTTCCTTCCTTTGTCGGGAGTTCTTGGAGAGGATTTAATTGAAATTCATTGACTTACCTCCAGGGAGGGAGGTGAAGTACTTAGTTTTGGTAGTGTTTGTTCCGTATTTTTTCAAATTTTCCCTGATTATGAATTGGTTACGTGGGTGTTAGTGTGGTTAAGGGAGGTGATGATATTTTGTGGCATTGTGGTGGATGTGATGATCATTGATGGACACTCTAGTCATTATGTTTCCTTTAACTATTGACTTTGGAGGCTTCTACAAGCCAAAATGGGTTGGCTTCATTTTAGTCCACCCACTCTTCCTTTCTTATTCTCGGACCACACTTTTTCTCCTCTCTCCACACTTGTTTTTTATATCACACAAATATTCCTCTAACTTGAGGAAAATCAAGAGAGAATGGAGACGAATATGGATAGAGAAAAAGAAGTGTGGAAAGAGGAGAAGGCCATATATATATATATATATATAGTAGTGTTCAATTGGTTTTTGGAGCAAGAAATTATATACTCACTTTTAATTATAGCCTTTGGATCAAATCCTACGGCAATTACTTAATTGATTTTTATTTTCTTCATTTTAAGAAAGTTACATTTTCTTTTCATACCATTAAATATTGTAAAAGAAAAATGACATAATTAGACAATTTATTAAAGAAAACAAAAATAAAATAATTTGGTTACTTTTTGCCAAATTCACAAGCAGCCCCTAAGATGAAGTAAAATTAATCTAAAATTAAAAGTCATCATTTTTAGTTTTTTCCGTACTTTATCAATTCTATTGATAAATTATGAAAAAACTTAGGATTTGCAATGATATTATACATATTTTGGCATGCTTTTACCGAACAACACTTTGAACATTTAATTTACCAAAAAATATAAAAAATAAAAAAACACTGAGAACATTTAGATAGATATATAATAATATATAAAGAGTTGTTTTGTATGATTTTTTTAAAAAATTTATGAAGCCAATAGTAGCCTCCTAATTCTAAATTAGTTGCTGAACAAATTCTAAATATTTTATTAAGCTGAGTATAAAACATGGATCAATCTTGAAATTTGAGTTTTAATTATAATCAATACTTCTCAAACAATCTTTATTTAATGGCCATTTTATTTATCTTTTTTTATTAACTTTTTTTTTGTTTCTGTTAATAAACAATTGGTAGTGATGGGCAAGTATTTTTTTACTAGATTATTTTATTTTTGTTTCCTTTAATAAATTGTCTAATTCTGTCATTTTTCTTTAACTATATTTAAAGGTATAGAAAAAATATAGAAAAAAAATGTAAGTTTCTTAAAATAAAGAAAAAAAAAAAGTTAATTACTACAATTAAAAGTGAGTATATAATTTCTTACTCCCAAGAAATAATTGAACACTACTATATATATATATATATATATATATATTAGAGAGATTGTAAAATATATATATATATATATATATATATATATATATATATATATATATTTTGTATTGGCTAATATGAAATGAAATGATTTCAAGTCTCCGGAAAGTAATGTCCTTGTCAAAGGAGTCTCCAAATCACTCAAACTTGGCAATACTCAATAGATGAATCTCAATTAAATTTATAGATCATATTGGCCACTCCTTCACAAGGTTTATTGAACCACCAAATTAATCATTTTTAACTCTAGGTAATCCAGTACTAGATACGTGTAACAAAGGGTAACTTGTCTCACATGAATAAAAAATTAAATGAGTTAATATGCAACACTACTAAATAATTTAATTTTTTTTAAAATGGACAAACACCCACAGTTAGAATACGGTACAAGTAATATGCAAAATCATTTTGACCATCAATTCTTGACACTAGAACTGACCTGGACAATGGATTGAAGCAATTAGATTAAAAAAAAAAAAAAAATTGATTTATTTGAAGCAAATTCATTCTTGCTTTTCTAGCCTGTAATATAAGAAGGCAATTTAGGTTAGCAAAAACATTTTCACGTAACTTTCATACTACTTTTAGGAACAGAAAAATTACAAAATTTTCATAATAAGTTATTCCTGATGAACTCGAGCTCAATCTCACCTAAACCTTTGCCAACCATTGAAAACTAAAATTAAAAATATAAATTTTACTTAAAAAAAATATATATTTTCTAAACAAAATATTTTACGGAGCCGAAGTGTTCAAGTCTGCATAAGGCACAGCAAAAGTGAGTATTTTAAGGAACAAAAAAATTACAAAATTGCAACTAATGAATCATGTTTGAATTAGCTTTGCCCTTTTCCTTATTTTCTTCTTCCAAGTGGAAAAATATTAATAGTAAACTAACGCTGTCGTGTTATTTGCAACTAATGACACAATTTATTCATAGGTTAAGAAGAATTTGCAACCAGCCGACGGTTCAGGGAGGGCAATTCATGGGAATTTTTTGCAATTGACTACCAAATGCTTTTCAATTTTCATCCTAAAACACAAACATAAGAGGACCAAACCAGTGGCAAATGCCAAATTACACAGCCAACAATGCCCAAAAAAGTTCATCTAAATCAACAAAATTAGAGAGGAAAGCATATCCCACCTTGATTATCTTGTCTGTGACTGCAGAATACCAACCAAATCTAAATGCACAAGTCAATTGTAGGGAATTTTATCTTGAAAAAGTTCTCATCATCAACTTCTCTCCGTGCATGAATCAGTATTGCCGCTTTTCAAAAGAAGCTTGGCTACCTATCTGGGCTTCCTCCATAACTGATCTTCATACTGTGCCGCGGCCACTTTAGGACGCTCACAATCGCACTTCCGGCAGACCATGTTCCTTCTGTAATTCACAAAATCACATCTGCACAAGGAAATTGATTCGTTGATTGATATTGTATATTTTAACTTCCAAGTTTGAACTTCAAAACACAGAGACCGAGAGACTCACTTGGGGCACTCCCAATCTCCGGGAACCAGCTCTCTCTTGGGACGTGGCCCACGGCAACGCAAACACTTGGTGTTGCTTGCAAAATTCATAAACTCACACCTATACACAACTCGTTTTATAAGAACAAAACAAAATGAAAATACATTAAACAATTAACAGAACGCACACTCCATGTTAAAAAAAATAATTATATTCCCGAGCTGGGCAAGGGAAAAAAAGGTTGTATGCATAAATGTGCATCACCCAATGAATGTCCCATGCAATATGCTAGGGAAAAAAGACTCAAGACATAATATAAGCTTTTGGTATTATTTTACCTAGACAAATATAAGCTTTTGGTATCTAATAGACCACATGTTAGACCAATTATAGATATATAATACAACTATAAGCTTTTGTAGAAATCGTCAGATTAGTTTTATAAATATATTCATGATTAAACCCCTTCTCTGTTTGGAGAGTGTATGAGAGAAACAAAGTGATGGATCGAACCCGTGAGATAAAGGAACTTATAACTGATATGGATGATATAGATGAACATAGACTGAATCTAGAGACATAAGCAGTTCATACCCAAAATCAAAACAAATTGTACAGCCCTTTTTTTTTTTTTTTTTTTTTTTTTGGGTACCACAAATTGTACGGTACAGCTTCATTGTCCAGAAATTTACAGCTGAGATGGGTAATATAGATGAACAGTGAATCAATAGAGATATAAAGATAAATAAACTAAGAAAGAAATATAGAGAGAGAATTACAAGGGGCTATATATGTGTGTGCATATATAGAGCGCAAATATATAGAGAGAGCATTGAGAGAGAATCCGTTTTTTAGAAAAAATATTTGTTTTAGGATGTTTTACTGAATCTGACATGTCCAAGCCACGTCATGTTCGGGTCCTAATTTGGTGGGAAACTTTTGGGTTTTCTATCATTATTCCAACAGAAATAACAAAGACAGACTTGTATTTGAAGAAGCAGGGTAACACTTCTAAGAAGTTGTCAGTGTCAGAAAAATTTTATACACACTTCTAACACATTCCCAAACATATTTCGGACGTATCTATAATTTTGAAATATATATATATATATATATTTGTTTTGGATACATGACCAACATTTTATGGGCATGGAAAAGGATGGCACGATTATATGCAAATTCAAATTAAAGGTTCAACAAAATTCATATAAAGTACAACCATTTTTTTTAAAAAAAATTAGACAAAAAAACTACCACGTAGGAAGGTTTTATAGAAGGGTGGACATTGCATGTAGAAAACAAAATCATCAAATTTTGTGTAGCAGATATACATATACATATCCACATGCACACACAAACACACGCATACATAGACATTACATATATATATATATTACAAGTCGTAAACTTCATGTTACGATCATAAAATATTTATTAGTCGTGTATAATAAATATAAAAGATAATATATTTTATTTATGTCATCGCCTTATGCGTATCCATTTACGATTTTCGAGTCAAACCTCATTGTGTCATATGCCTCAATCCCGTGTCAGTATCATTGTTCTTAATTAGTATTATAGTCGCATGCAGTGCAAAATGAATTCTAAATCAAATTTGCCAAAACTTATGCTATTTGCCCACCAAATGATTTTGACGAAATACAACATTTTTCCTAGGAATGTTGCTTAACATGTCAAAAGCAAAAACTCACTTTGGGCAGTTCCAATCTCCTTTCTTCATTTCAACATCACCTACAGAAACCCTCTCAGGCCCATTCGCTTTGCATTTCAGGCATCTGGTATTTCTAGAAAAGTTCATGAATTTACATCTGAAACAAAATCCAAAAAGCATCATTCCAGTGAAAATATGCAATATTCTTATAATGAAAACTATATAACGAACCACAAATAAAAAGTAAATAAAGAAGGATGGTTAGGAGGATATATTTCACAACAAAAACACTTGCTTCCTGGTCGCTAATTCAAAGATCTTATGAACTGCCTAATGACCAATAATAGAAATGGCAGTTTAATTTACACCAGCCAGTAAATGCATATTTATTTGCACTGCAAACAATAGAGTTTCACGGCTCACTTAATTAAAATGCTTAAAGCAGTAATGCATTTTCTGCATTTCTTTAGGATTAGTAGACAAGAGATTGTCTGGGGTGTGGGTTTTGTCTTCACTAAGCATCCAATTGTATGCACTGATTTGTTACAGGTAAGACTGAAATGGCAGTCGCTACACAAAAAAAGATAACTAGAAGGATGAAATCAGTATTAGCCATGTTTTCCCAAATCACTAGATTAAAAAGGCTCTGAAAAAATTAGAAATATATGAAATGACATACGAAGACAACCATTTGCCAGCACGATATAAGTATTATATCAATTGACCACAAGGTTTCAACCCAATGGCATTTGAGTAATTTTGACGATAACAAACAATTAAAGTGCGAATTTAATATTCCACTTGAGTTTGTGTTAATCAGGTTTTGACTTTAAACTCAATGAAATATCATGGACAAATCATAAAGCTCAAATGGACCGTGCCTCATGGTGATGGAACTTAAAGCAATTGAAGACAAAGTTCACGACCACGGAAAGTATAGGCATTTGGTGAGAGCTAGATTCAATGTAAAGTAATTTGTGATGCATTTTGATGAAAGCTCAATCCGAAGACAAAAGAGAGACTAGGACTTAATAATTGAATAAATAAATAAATACCATCTTAAGGTCTCTAGAAGCATTGACTTAAACCATAAACGTAGATGACTCGTATTATAAGGGCATAAAAGTCATTTGGCAACTTGGAAGAGACTTTAGATTTGAAAGAAAGTTTAGTTCAGTACTTTAGATGATTTAGATGCCTAAGCGGTTTACTAAGACGCCTAAATGACCTTTGAATAAACTTGATATTATGGAAAAGATGACTTAGATGCCTAAAAAGTACATTCAAACATCTAACTTGACATTCCAATATCTGATCAAAAAATTTGTAAACGGTACTTAGACACCTAAGTGGTCAAACTTAGATGCCGAATTAGACATTCCAATAGCTGAGCCAAAATTCTATAGGGCAACTTAGATGTCTAAGTGGCACACTTAGATATCTAATTTGACATTGAAGTAGTAGAGTCATTTTTCAGAAAAGGTAACATAGCAAGGATAAAGAACAGGGTTAAAACCCTTGGAGAGAAAACTTGAAATTATATTGATAAAATATCTGTTTGCAAACTTACATCTCTTGGCATATAATATTCTTGAATGTCAGCCACATTGAAGGTAGAAGAAATGGCCATAGTAAATCAATCGCATAGGCGTTGTCATTGATTTTCTTTAGAATCTTGTAATGGCCCTCACTCTATTCAGACACAATATTGTCCGTTTTTGGCTCCCTCACACCAGAGACTCCATGTAAAAATAAAAAATAAAAAATAAAAAAATTATATTCCCGAATTGGGCAAGGGGAAATAAAGGTCGTATGCATAAATGTAGTTGAAATTTGAATACTAGGAACTCAAATCAAACCGATTTTTTTCTTCTTTTTTTTTTCCTGATAAGTAAAATATATAATATTAAAGGAGCGACAAATATACAGGAGAGCCTTAAAAGGCAAAAAAAACTAATCTAAGAGAACATAAAATCTGCTTGTCTTCCTAGTAACTGGAGTCTGGAGGTGCTACCCCCATTGGATGAGGCCTTTTCAGTCATTGGTTAAATAGTTGGGCCTAAGTGTGTAAGAGTTGGGCCTGAAAATCTCTACTTTTGGGAGAAATATATAGAATCCACATATATTTTGGAAATGGTATCAAACTGTGGTTGAAAATTGACAGAGAAAAATAATATAGTTACGTGACTCAGGCCCATTGGATGCCAAAAGCCAAAAATGAAGCAATGTCTTGGAATGAATGGTTGGAAGCAAACAAGGGATGGACCACTGAAAAGGCTCCAATTATTGATGTACGGCTTAATATATAACCCCATGGTCCCCACAAAAGCCCGTTTTGCACTGCTTCTATACTCTTTTAAAGATATTTTTATATATAAATGGGCTTAGTGGCCATATTTACCCATACATTAAGTAATTTATCTAAAATGTGTTTGACCCAAAAACTGAGGCGGCACATGAATTTTTACTGTTTATAATTTGTGTAATCTAAAATTCCCTTCTCCCTATTTTTTGTGTTGCCTAAAATGCCCTTCTCCTTATTTTCTGTGTTGCCTAAAATGCCCTTGTCCATTTTCCAATACATTTTACCTTTTGGGGCCCTAACACTGAAATCTCATTCATGGAAGAGCCCTCTCTCTCTGCCCTAACCCTCACTCAAATCTCATTCGTGAAGAGCCCTCAAGAGCCCTCTCTCTCTCCCTTTCTGTCTAACCAGCGAAGCAAGACCAGGCCAGGCCCTCTTTCAGAAGAAGAAGAAAAGAGCTATCGGTGAGCCAGCAAGAAAATCTATCTCTAAACATGGCGATACGCCTCAGCATCTGCAACGAGACCTATTTCCCTGGGGCACCTGCCCACAAGTGAATGTAGAAGCCAAAGGAGTCATTCTTTTCCTTCAAAACGCCCCGATTTTCTAGTAATGGTAAGTACTCTCTCTCTCTCTATCATTTATTTTTTAGATAATTAGTGTTATAATTTTTTTTTTTTTTTTTCCCAATTGGATGTTTGATTTCCATCTAGGGTTTTTTTTTTTTTTTTTCATTTATAAAGAGACATGAGCTATATTATACCCTCTAATTCTATATGTTTTTACTGTTTCTATACCAATTTTTTTATTCCACCACTCAAATATGCAGGTAATCTTTTAGCATTGGTACCACAACAAAAATTCAATTTTTTTTATAATTTTCAATTATTAAATATATAGCTTTGTTGTCAAGGCCTTGATTCTCCTCTGGACTATATTCATCTGAACTTGTGCCAACAAACTTGATTGATCCGTAGCGCTTATTCCGCTCCCTTAACATGTTGACCTGGTAATATAATTATATAAACATTTTTTCAAATTAACACCAATTCATGAACATCAGTAAGTTGGAATCAAATTAAAAACTTGAAAATAAAATGTAAAATGCAAACCTCGTGCATGCAAAGCCGGCAATCACCATCATAAAGCATCTTAACCTTCCAATTTGGAAACGATTGTTCATCATCATCTTCTTTCTTGGGAGCTACAGCTTCCACAGTTGGTTCATGTATTGCACGAATTGAATATTTATATCCTACAACAAGGAAACAAAAAACTCAATAGCCCCAATATAAAGCAAAATTCATGTTATTCTTTCCCTACTAGAATTAAAAGCTAATTTGAAAAATATTAATAGCATAATACCAAATACAATTAACACAAATGATATGTCATTTCTATTTTAGTCTAACTGTTTGGGGTTGGCAACTTGAATTCTGCCATACCTTACTTTCATCTCAATAAACTTTGGCTGGAACCATGAAATTTCTTCTTGACAGCTTCTAAATTTCACACTATCTGCTGGAGTTACTATCCCCTGTTGTAGAACTTGGGAAGTGGCTTCTTTCTCTGGCATATTGGGAAGACCTTTTGAAGTCTATGATATTCTGCTCGGTTTTTGTAATACCCCTAATTTTAAAAGGATAGTCTCAGTATTTATTTATTTATTTTTATTGTATTTTTTTTTAATTGTTTAATTGATTATTTGACTAATTGTTTATGTGTTTAATTGAATTAAGTGTTACTTGATTAATTGGCTACTTATCTATGTGTTATTTGTATTTTGTCTAGGTGTTATTTGTATTATTTGTTTAATTAGATTGTGTGCTTAAATGATGTATTTGATTAATTGTAATTAATTGTAAATTAAATGATTAAATATTTTATTTTATTTTATTTTATGGTTATGGTTAGTGGTAATGGGCTAACTAATTGGGTCCCATGGACTACTTGGATAGGAGGTTGGATGGGTATGGATAATTACCCATGGATAGTTGTATATGTATAAATATAGATATATATGTATATACATATATATAAAAAGGAAAGTAATTTATTAATATTATAGTAACTTTAATATTAATAAATAATCTGATGTATATATTTTATATATTTATATAATAAGGATATACATATATTTTATACGTAACATGTTTTAAGTTACCTTTTTAATATTATGGTAACTTTAGTATAAATAAATAATCTGATGTATATATTTTATTTATTTAATGAGGATATAGATAGATTATATACGTAACATGTTTTAAGTTACCTTTTAATATTATGGTAACTTTAGTATTAATAAATAATCTAATGTATATATTTTATTTAATTAATAAGGATATACATAGATTATATACGTAACATATTTTAAGTTACCTTTTTAATATTTTCATTTTTTATTAAGTTGACTTGGATTGGGAAAAGGAATAGGGTTATTATTTAGCCTATAAATACACAACTATAGGTTGAAAAAGGAGTAAAAATATGTCACGTAATATATTCTAGAGAGAGAGAAGGAGAAAGAGGAAGGAAGGAGGAGAAAACCCTTTAGAGAGAAGATCAAGGAAGAAGAAGTTTAACTTTCAATCCGAAAGTTTAAGGCAAGTTCTTCTTATATCTCTTTCCCTTTAATTCGTGTTTCTGTACATGCCTAGGAAATTCCAGGATTTATTAAACACATAAAATTAAATAATTATGCATGTTTAATTGGGTTAGAATATAGGTTTTATGAAATTGGTTCATATCTGTTCTTGTGTTATGAATTGATAAAATGCATGATTTTGATTTGATTTCTTATGTGAATTTTTATATGTTTAAATTATGTATTTTTCATATCTGTAGAATGATGGAACGTAGAAATATGCCTAAGATTCCT